ACATTAGTTGCAGCAGAAACCGTTGCATCGCGACTTCAATGTTCAAAAGAAATCGTTGGAATTTAGGTTTTTATGCGACTTTGGGGCGAGCTTGCTGCAAATAAGCCAATGACTGAACGAGTTTACAAAGAGCTCGCCCCTTAGATCGAAGAAAAGAACAAAATCGAAACAAACTTCGAAACGGAGAAGTCGCGATGCAACGATTTTTGTTGTAACAAACTTACTTTCCAAATATAGGGTTAAGGCTATTAGGACAGTAGTTATCACGGTCCTTCATCACAGTTTTACCAAGTGATACTATTACATATGGATCAGCCTACAAAACAACAACAATAATACATCAAATAATGTCTTAACTAAAGACAATTGCACATTCTAACTTACCAAACCATTGGCGTCTTGAGGCATTAGATCTATCGCCTGGAATTGAACAGTGTGTTAGTTAAAGGAAGAAACGAAATCAGAAAAGTACATGCAGTAATCTTTATAACACTCACCCGTACAACATAAACCCGAACTGTACATTCAACAGGTTCACTTGGTGGTAGATTAGACAGTAGTCGAGGTGGTAAAGGGAGATTTGGGTCACTCGGTAATGGATATACACGAAACGTTCCCTGAAAGAAATCCAAGATTCTTAGTATTTTCGGAACAAGATTACATTCTGAAGCAAGAGCAAGAGCAAGAGCAAGAAGGATTTGTACGTCAGAATACTAACCTTAAACTCTCCAACTATTGTCTCTTCTTCGTCTGCTTTACTGGTTGCTTTCCCACGATGGATGTGAAAGGTCTCCATGAAGTCTTGAAAGCCGTCAAATGGGTCAATATTTTCAAGTTCTTTGGGGTAAACCTTGAAACACAACCAATCGTACGTTATTTGTCTTGGTCAGTTTTACATACTCTGGCTCACTTATAAGAGAACTTTGATTCGTACTTTTAATTCGGTTTCTCTTTTATTCAGCATGAATTTAACTCACCATGATTTTATCGTAGCCTTTCTCAAGGTACTGACCAGCTTTGTCCATATCGCCAATAGACGCATAAAACTTTGACCACCAGTCTATGTCTTCCTCTACTASCTCTTCCTGGAATGGTTAAGAAACCGTTTATATCATAACAATCGAAGTTTGACAATAACACATGAAAATCATGGAAGAAAATTTAAAACTAATATATGAATGCAAACAAAATGAAGAAAACGAATAAGTAAACAAACAAACAAACAAACAAAAAATATTCAAATGAATAACARATAGTAGAAATAAATAGAAATTTGAARAAACAAAAATCAAATAACAACAATGTCAGCAGACGCAGCAACAACAACAATAACCACAACTATAACCACCAATACAACAGCCACATTAACAGCTACAACAACAACAACAACAACAATAACAATAACAACAACAAAATAACAACTCACAGTTTTCTTCTTTTTCTCTTCTTTGATGTCCATTATATGAGAAGAGGCTCGACTTGGCGACTTCTTTAACGCTAATCATTCAAATCAGATTATATTCTTAGATATCAAACTGTGTTAAATCCAGATTAATTCAATGTCTTACAAGGTGATTCAGGAGGATCGTCGTAGCTGCCAGGTTCACAGCGGAATTTCTGTAGAGACTTCATAGCGTGAATACCAACGACTGGTTTGCGTCCAAACGATCGGTTATCGCGTACTTTGATATTCATTGGTGGTGTGTAGAGCTCTTCTTTAGGAAGATACTTTGGAAACAAAGAATATTCATGACTGACTAACTTATTTTAAAGATTAATGGATCGATTGATCTATTGATTGATTGATTGACAAGTCCATACCACATCAAAGAAAAAAAGCGGTTGGTGAAAGTTCGGGTTTTTCTGTGTATTCTTAATGGTAGTGGAGTTAATCACGTGACCGCCACATTCAAATTCGATGGAGGGAGATGAAACGTTAGCAAGCTGGAATTTCTTCATGTTCCTGACACCCCAGCACAAAATCTGTAGAATAACCTTAGTGTTAATGTCATGCAATGATATCAACAGAGCTATTAATTGTTATAAAACATCGTCTTGAGTATCGTTAATGTTATCATCATCACTATCATCATCTTTATCGTCATCATCACTATCATCAACACCATCATCATCACTATTGTACCTCAATCGCTGTTCTTTGCATGACTGGTCTAATMCCGTTGGGAACCAARAACAAGTTGCCTTTCATTGGAGGAGCAAAAGGCAGATCTGCGCCCTCATCCTGTTGAATTAAGACGTCAAAATATCATACACAATCTTGTCCAACACTAACACTAATTAAAAGATGACWATGAAGTTAAGCAATAWTCGTGRAGGARATRCATMAAGGAGTCTTACCAGGAATAGTTCAAAAGCCGCCAGCACTTCACCACCATATTCGTTACCACGCTCGACGTCATACCACAATAGTCTTGGAGCAGGTGGACCTTGGCCATTCACCTTGACCAGCGGTATCATCGTACAACGTCCCATAAACTCATCTTTRCCCTACAACATCAATGTTTATATAAGCTATGTATTTGAATATCTAGAAGCGATGTCAGTGGTGTGAACAACAACAACAACAACAACATCATCACCACAAACAACAAGACCAACGTTAAACCGCCAAAAAAGGTCTTGCGGGAAAGTCGAAATAAATCTTGCTTATTTTTTTTTTGTTATTATCTAAGTTATCAATATGTGTTTCTAATGAAATATTTACCACAGGATCTTTATCAAAGAGTTCTATGATAACGGTAGGTGGGTCTTCCACGATCTGCTCGATATTTCCATACAGCAGAATGTTCTCAAAGATCAAAGTCTGGTCCCATGTTGGACAAAGTGTGCGCGTCAATGTCTCRGTTACTTGACTCTGTGTCTCGAAGATGATTCTAGCGTATGGATCTAAAAAAAAAAAAAAACGATTGAAGAGTGTGTGTAAAGTAGATGTTCTCGGGGTTAACAATAATGGCGGGTGTGGTGTCACATTGACAGTGGTCTCATAGCCTTACCGGGGTGGGGGTGGGGGTGGGGGGTGTACAATTTGTCTCTTATGGCTGTTGCACTATGTACTAAATATAGCATGTAGTGTCATCAATGCTTGTACTAATATAAAGAGCATTCAAAAAGAGGAATTGATGTTGTATTAAGAGCTTCTCGTGTACCATYAATATAACTCATGGGTGTGGCAACACGTGCTAATTTAATATGAAGTTTACCTGAAACACCATCAGGATCTGAAGCCAGCAGATCACGTGCCTGGTACATGTACGCACGYAGTTGGTATTTATGAGGATCTGCACAATAAACACAATAAACGAACGTTAAATGATTTGTTTAACACAGAAAATGAGTACAAGGATATTAAGACACCTCATGTCAAGGACTTACTGTCGAATGTAATGAACATGCGCGGTGCGTTCATCATTGTCTCTTTCTCAGTGTCCTGCTCAAAGAACAACACAAAWYAATTATCAAATTCTACAACAATCGCAGTSCTCTCATTTCATGTTATATACAATGAGATGTCCAAAATAAACCCTACGATAAAAGGAATTGCACCAGWRCTATGACTTACCTCTCCGCCACCAACATCAATGTGGAAGACCGCGGGGGCACTTGGGTCCTCTTGCTTCATTCGTCGATGCCAGCGACGTCTACGAACCAAATCCATCTTGCGTTCTTTAGCGTGGAATTTCATGGAGAACATTGGAGCGTATTCCCAMCCTTCTAGAGCAAGCTGCTCATCTCGAATCTAACGAAAATAAAATTTAAGTATTGATTTGCTTCATTTAGATTTGTTTAGTATGGTCACCACTGAAGCACACCACGTGGTAAAGAAAACGAATAAAGATAAAACAAATGAAAAACRAGAAAAGAAAAGGGAAAGAGCAAGATTATTGAAGAAATGAACAAACGAAAGGGAAAACGAGCAAGTAAACGATTAAATAAAAGAGCACAAGGGAAAACCAATGAGCAAGTAAAAGAACCAACGAACGGTCAATCAAGTATTTAGTTACCTCGTCTTCTTCGATTTGCAATTCGACGATCAGTCTTCTACTGCGCACCCAGCGTCGTCTTCTACACAAGTGATATGTYTTCTCCACGGGTCCATATCCTCCCATAGTTGAYTCTACWGTGTACTCATAACCATTCTCATCYACGGCTCTGTTCAGATCAACTTGCCAGTCTGAAGTCCACTCCCAGTCTTCATCGCACTTGATTTCATCGCGACCAATAGTCAAATCMCCYCGCTGAAATMAMAGTGAACGATATCGATTAGGACTATTCTTCAGGTMTCCCAATCCATTACACAGGAAACCCAATCACGGAGGATGATGCATAAGGAYGAAATAGTGTCAAAATGGAAATCATGATTATGGTTATGATAACGATGATGATCATAATAATACTAAGATTGACTAGGATTGTTTTCCAATACTTTATGCAAACATAGATACATGACATCACAACATATCGTGCCATGACGTCACAGCATAAGGATGACGTAACAGCATAACATGGAGTCGCAAAACAACTCGACTTCACAAGACAAAATACCACATGATTGCAAAACATGTTATGACGTCACAACATGCATACTACATGACGTCACAAAATAACATACCACATCTGTCCACTGMACAGAAGCTGGTCCCCAGGTCCCGCCCGGTAACCTCGATTCATTCTCGAATACGTCCTCAAGGAAATTCTTGTGGCCRCTGTCTTTATCGTACGACAAGCTTGAAACGAAGAGAAATTCAAGTCGTTATTTGTCGTTAGAGGAGAGTGGTAAGTGAAAGAATTGAAAATTTTCAGGAATACCTGAGTTCTGGGTTGACRAACCAGTCTCCCTCGAATCTCCAGCCCTGAGGTGCTACAAAGCAGTCTTTCGGTAGTCTTATCTATAGATAGACAGCTGTTACCATCGATCAAATAAAATACACGTTACAGAGAGAGGTACTTACGTCTCCTCTGGCGTTTGAGAAGTTGGGACGTGGAAGACCTTTAGCTGTCCAATTGCCAAGAATATTCATCTCATTTTCGTACTGAAAAAGGAATGATATGTTCATTAATCGTAATCAATTAATCTTCAATCAATCATCAAACAATCAATCAATCAACCAATCAATCAAACTTCGTTGTATTTTCTACTTACGGTTTCAGCAAACACACAGAAATCCCCTTCAGTTTGTTCTCGGTTGGTCCAGTCTTCTTGGTGCTTCTCTAGTCCAAGCCAAACCATCAGTCKAACGTGCGCAGGGACTTCTGGGAAGTCTTCGATATTTTGCTGCTTTTTACCCGGATACTAAAATAAATAAACAAAAAATAATGACTTTTTTCATACAATATAGAACTTCGTATTGTTTTAATGATATTCCTTCTAGAATTACTTGAATTATATATTTAGAATTGAAGCATTACTACAGAGCTATGTTCTCAGTATTAAGCACATTAAACTAGCAAAACTGATCTCGATCGTCCATCAGAACATGACAATTCCTCACCTTCATGAAGATATTTTGTATTTTTCCGCAATTTTCCCCACAAGCCTCGYTATAAGGCTCGAACAAAACGTCATAGGCAGGCAGCCTGTAGTATGCAATCCTCTTGGTCCCACTGATCATCCATATGATGACATCAGGCATGCTGTTCTGAGGCTGTAGATAGACATGTGTTTTTTATCAGGTTAACATATTTCTATGAAGCATTGTGTGAGAATCAGATTTGTCATGTCATAGTTAAGGAAAGTTCAGCTCACAAACGCACCCTTGTAAGACGTTTAGGATGAAAAATCGATGAGATAACAGCAATAAAAGACATTTTTACCTCAATTGTAAGGTCCCGTAGTCGTTGCAAATAGCCTTCGATTTCAACCAGAGCTTCTTCTACATCTGTTGCGTTTTCTCGTAGTTTAGAGGCTTCCTCCATTATCGAGAGCTAAAATAATTACAAACAAATTGATATTCTTACTATTCTTTGAATTGTTAAAAATTGTGAATCGAAATAAACCGACTAACGACTTTGAGATTTGGCGAAATGAAATGAATTTGTACAAAGCGAAATTAAACGAAACAAGGCGAAATTCAATGAAAAGTAACGAAAGTCTTACCTTCTCCATCATTCTTATTTCTTGTTGTTGTARATCCAGGTCATTGACACCCGGCATTTGTTGGTCTACTTTAGGCAGCGGCTTCCTGTTAGACACGATACAACATTTTGGTAAAATAAGATAGAACAGACTTGATATAGCTATAAAGTGCTCTTTCAATCACACACCCATGTTCTAACGTTTCCCCTCTCCTACAGTAGCCTATTTTCCTTAAAGTACCTCCCTTACTTCCCTGTCCACTACCCCCTTAAATGAACAATACTCCCCCTTAGATATCAATGACACGACCTCCTCTGGTAGCTCCCCTTTCCTTAACGTATAGTCTATTTCCAGAACTTCCTGTTTCCTCCATACCTGCAATCGGCAATAAGCTCATCTAATAGAGTTATCAACAGCGTTGCTGTTTCCGCTGGCTGTGCGTTGGCTTCAAGGGACAGATTAACTTTGTCGATCGAGTTTTCCTAGAAAATATCAAATAACATCAATATTTATCATTAAATACTACTTACTTCTATTATGATTGCTATCAGTGTTATTCATGCCATGCAAAGAACTATAGCTAAAATGACGTGGCTCTAACCCGGCATTTTCAAAACTGTACGTTAGGAACGATGAATCATTTTGTCATCTAGATGAATATTATTCGCAGGGTACTCCTTACCAGTCTCTCGCACATTCTCAGTAAGATRTTCTTGGTACCAAGTCTAAATCCAATGTCTTCCCAGTGGCTATCAATCCCAACACAAGGCTTGGTATCACCCCATGGTAGATAGTAGTAATAACACCCATCATACACTGCGTTAGTTGGAGGAGTAGTTGAAGAAGACGGGGGTACTGATAGGTCAAGTTTGTTACCATAGTTACCTGAAATGACGTCACATTTAAGTTTTTATTTATTTGTTGAGGTGTCGGTTATACCAAGGCTGAGTAAAGCTAACAACTCCTTAGATTTTGTATGGAGTTTTTATACGTTGGATAAGTATTTCTCCAATGGACAACGATATTTACCCTTCGTACAACCRGCCGAAGGTGAATAGCTTGTTTTAAATCAGTCATTAGAAAGACAAAAGGTTGGCGGACATGTTGTTGCTATGAACAGTAGATGACKTGAGTAATCTCTATGACGACGTGCCATCACCATGACTACAGTGCGTCAACTGAAATCAAGCGATAAATTCGTAGATTCTACAACACAATAAACTACTCACCGATGCTAACTTCAAACTCAACGGGTCCATCGATGCACGACACCATGGTCGCCTCCAGAAAACACGCAAAGAGTTTGTACTTACGACGACGGAGGTAAGGCTGTAAGAAATTGAATGCGATATAAACCAATTAATGCCGCTTGTTTAACACTGACTACATAGATTCTRTACATCCAGAATTATACAAGACTTTTCCATTGTCAACTTTTTTTTCTTCTTCTTTACCTGAACGCTTATAATCTCATGGCTCTGTAAATCRTCGGTTGTTTCTTGTGGTGTTACACCAAGCTTTGTCTCTAGTTCRACGAGCACCCTTCCTCTGTATGCCACGCCCTCGCCCTATTGACAGCAGTCAATCAAATCAGTGTTTTTCTTTGAGTACTAAATTGTTTTGAAATAAAAAGCCACAGTGATTTTGTAAGTGTAGGGACGCTAGCTAGGGAGGCATAAACAATGACTGAAATCATCCCAATAATGAATAAAAATTGTTTCATTTACTGAGCACTTACGATGCCAATGTTTAAATCATCGTACTCGTCTGGGAGGTCGGAATATTCTCGTGTTGATCCATAAAAGTTGATAAAACAAGGACCAAACATGGGTAGAAAACCTGRAAAGAAAAGTAAACTCGACTCACTTCTAAAGAAATAGAAAGAAAAAGCGTTTCCAGTATGTGCCCACGGCTCGAGCAGAACAACAATCTTGAATAACATCAGTAATTAACTAACCTTCATCTCCTTGCCCTGATATGGCTGACATGGGTAGAAAACCTGAAAAGAAAAGTAAACTCGACTCATTTCTAAAGAAATAGAAAGAAAAAGCGTTTCCTGTATGTGCCCATGGCTCGAGAAAAATAACAATCATGACTAACATCACTATAAACTAACCTTCATCTCCTTGTCCTGATATGGCTGACATGGGCAGAAAACCTGTTCCAATACAGTCGTCCGCAGTCAGTCTGTCCCTAAAAACGTTATATATCACATCAATAATAAATTTCAAAGTCTTGAGGATGAATGTATTCTCACAAAAACGACTCAATCTGAAGCAAACCCTACCAATCAAACATTTGAAGCTTTAATCTTTCGCACATCGAGGGAAACTAGGAAAAATAAACCAAATATTCTTAGTTCAGTTCGTTATAAGATTGATAATGTAATGTTTTATGATGAATGGTGATTTATAACAAAGATACTTGCTTTGAATTGGACGTTAAGCTCTTGGTTAAACTCAGGGTGATCGGAGTTGTAGTGAATTCGTGTTCTAGCCTGTWGAATATGATGTTTTTTTAATAAAAAGCATAATAATTTAGTGTACAACCCCCTAGCCCATGAAGAATACTCCAGTRCTGTGCCAACGCCTTCCTTTCTATGAAATCTGGTATCATACCTTTTTACCAGCAAAGGAGAAAACCAAATATGGATCAACCAGTTCCTTTTGYTCCTAAACAAATATAACATCAAAGATACTCTGTAAATCTTTATTGATTCTATTGAAAACTTGCAATTGATAGTGAATAGAAATAACGAAAAAAAGAGCAAAAAATTGAAAAAAAAATCCGGGAAATCGATGCAATGCACTGAACATAAAGATGAAACTAGAAATATATTTAATGGCATACCTCGCCAAGATGYAGAACCCTTTTGACTCCCTCAAATATACCAGAATCCACTGCAAAACGAACAAACAAAGATTAATTCCATGCTCATATACGGAAAGATGACTCCAAACACCGGCTATAAATCGTTAATCAAATGTAAATAAAACACATCGCTTACTCTGTGGGATATCCTCTGCTCTGTAGACTTTCAGAGAGAACACCGCTGGTCTTAACATGACGCCCGARGGCTGCAGAAGATTCCTAGAATGCAGACAGTAGAAGGTTATGMGACGTAGTCATAAAATAGCGTGTTGTGTTGCGTTCTGGTTTTCACTTACGTTTCAATGTCATCGCTGTCATCCTCTGAAGGGCCCGATGAAGTTGTCTGGATGATGACAAGAAAGTTGGATGTTTAGGATGCGAGGGAGAAGAAGCAAACAATAACAAAGACAAGAAGATGATGAGAAAAGGAAAAAAAGAGAAATGAGAAATGAGAAATGAGAAAAGAGAAATAGCATGCAAGAGAGGAAATACATGAACGACAATAATAAATGGAACAAGGAAAATGTTTTCTAGGAAAATAAGGGATAAAAATTTGTAATTTCTTACCGGAGCCTCGTCACCAGGACCCAGTACCATCACGGTCACTTTGATATAACCCTTGAAAAGCAACATCACGGTATTAGAGTAAGTGCAATAACATTAACTCAACTTTTACAAAAGACATACAATACAACAGGTACAACGTGTAATATTTAGTAATTAGAAGTATTAGGTGTGTATTTAAGCACGTTTTAAGAGCTTATAAAAGATCTCTTATAGTGTTTGTATTTATGTCAATTTTTAAGTGTTATATCTTATGCATTTTGTCGATAAACTGCAATTCATTAACCGTTATTATCAAAAATTATTTATGATCATGTCAAGCTTAAMAATGAATAATATTATCAGATGATTGTCTTTTTATTTTGCTTAAATTAGTGGTGTTTACGACGATATTAAAATTATTTGAAGCACAGAGTTTATATAAAAAGTTAACTTTATCATCCTTATCATCAGTTCCCGATTCATTTCCGACTGGTTATCGATTGAATTTGCTCAAAGACCGAGTTAATTCCGAGTCACTATCGATGTTATGTCGACCGATTATTCAGCAATCTTGGTTTCGAACATGAGGACTGGAATTTTTAAAAAATATTTTGTTTTTAGACTTTAGATTTCAGAAGGACAAAAAGATCAAACAGCCAATTAAAAACATATTACTGTTGGCGGTCCTRCAAGGACTCCTCGATGAAGTCTTTGGCCGAATTTACTTGGTGGGTTTTCTCCTAGATCGTCGTCAACCTATTGAAAAACAACTGTACTCTCTAATAAAGTTCAGAGTATATAATCACCGTTGATAAAAAGGTTGTCTRTCTTTTAAACYCAGGAAAAGCTGTTTTTCTTTGAAAAACCCTTAGCATAATATATGAATATACCTGAGCAGCTATTTCTTTTGATGAAATTACACGTGATTTTCTTAAAATAATTCAAGCATTTTGCGAAGTTTGAAATTTTGGAAATTTCATCCGAGATTGCTGGGTATTTGATGCTGTCATTAGAATCGCTTAACCAAGTTTACCTTCACTCCCGCCATCTTATCATCTGGATCTGTAAGCAAGACCCATTTTCTGATCGCAGCGTGACCTATAATATAAGCAAATTGGTTTATAGAGAGAATCAGCTTTCTAGTGGGTAGTATGGTCGTGGTTATGAATATGGGCTGAAAACGAAATTTTCAAAAGTTTCACCTTCTTCATCGTAGAAAAATCCAATATCACACTGAAAAAATGAAACGAATGGACTGAATAAATGAAATAATGAGAAATGAAAAAAATGAAAGATGAAATAAATGAATGAATGAAGCAAATAAATCATATTTCAAATTCCACTTACCTTGAAGTAGCCAATCATGGCGTTCGCTCTAAGTTTACGAGAATTAAAGACCTAAAATATGCACAAATCCCAGGTTAATCAATTCAAGCAATAGTAACATTTAATCAACTTACAATCACCTTACCTCAAAACTTATAATTTCATCAAATAGTTCAAGTGGAGCCATGTTAAAGTTGAAAAAAAAAGTCTGAAATCAATGGCAATATAATCAACAATGATGATGATGATTATGATKATGATGATTGCGACAATAAGATTTAACATGTAATAGTACCTCATCATAAAAGGGTTTATTGGTTGAAGTCTTGACTTTGGTTTGTCGGCTTTGACTGGCAACATTGACACGAATTACTGGACTGATATTCTGTCCAGATAACTGCCGCCCTTCTATGATTCGTACTCGGACCTTAAAACATATATAGTAAACAGATATAGTTATCACTATAGATAATATTATGATATTATTATCCTCATCAATACCTGGAAATCTTGTGGTTTGTTTGATAATTTATGTCTTTGAGTTCTTCTTTTCTTTCTTCTTTTTCTGTAAGACGATAAAAATTAAGGTCATTCAAAAAAAACTAATAAAAAAAACTAATACTACGCTTCGGTGTTTTCATTTTTTCTTTCAGTAAAACTTTTAAAAGATTACTCAAATCGCCTTAAATTTTCTCACCATTAAAAATTTTGTAACCTCAAACACACAAAGCTCACCCACCGACCAAAACAAAGATGGCCGACGTAATGACGTCATATAACATGGCGCGTTGCTAGAGTCTGTTCGAATCGACAYAGCTTTGTCAAAAATTCATACTGGGGTAGTATGAGCAGCTGAAACTGGAAGTATTCTTATTAGAATTCAATTAATTGTGAACTGTRTAGATCTTTTCAAACAAGTGACAGCTCCGCAAAATTGTAATTGATCTGAACAGACTTTTGCATAAACTGAGCTTATTGAATTTGTCGCTTTTACTACGATCCTCTCTGGGAGCTAATTCTAATGGCGCCTCAGCAATCGATGGATATGATATGTTTGAATAGTAATTAATGCATTCTAATAGTCTTGGTAAATGAATGGAATGATTTTTCTTGCTAATTTATTTATAAACATGGCTCGCTAAATTCTGTGTTTTTTTTCTCTTCAAGATGCATAGCAATTTCAAGAATCATTGTACACGAAAATTTAGAATACAAAAAAAATGGACGAGCATTGGTGTCCCCTGTTATAAAGACGTCAAAGATAAGAGAGTGAACAAGACAAGCAGCCTTAAAAAGTACTCGAGTGAAAGTTCTTAATCGCAAGTGATTCGTATCTCCCGCAGTGTTTACATCAAGCAACTGGTATACGCGGTTTCTTTTACATTTCTTGAATTACCTATTTCTGTCTTTTTAGAGACGGAAGGTTTAAAATGCTGTCTCCGAGAAGTGATATAAAGATACGGCGATAAAGTTGCGCGGCCATAATAYATTAGTCACAGGTCAATTAGACCGCGTACTATCCTGTAATTCAAGTCACAAACCTAAATCCTTCTGACACTCCCTCGGCACCACCACCCTCGACTTCATCCTCACTGTTCTCTAAGCCCTCRATTTCGTCAATTCCTTCAACTGTTATTTCCCCGTCGCCTTCCTTTTGGAAATGTGGCACATACTCCATCTTGAGAGAGATCTTGGACTGGCAAGAGGATAAAAGCACAGTGAATTCATTTAATATACGAATTAATTTTAATAATTAATGCTCGTGGAACATCTTGGGTAATGTGGGTTGAAGTTGGTCAAGMAAATGAAGGGCATAAAGAGCATTAGACAAATTGATCGCACTTTTGTTGCTGCTGTTGTTGTTTGAGTAGTGTATTTGCTGTTTCTAATTTTAAAGGCGGATAGGTACAGGATGGTGAATGAGAGGTGAAGGGAGGGATATATGAAAACAAAACAAAAAATATCAATTTATTTAAAATGGTTCTTAGTTCAATGATAAAAAAAGAAAGATTCAAACAGTAATTCCCCACGTATTTGCTGCAATTACTTCACTCCACATTACAACCTCAATAAAGGCTCCTTTAGCAATGAAATTCATATGAAAACACATGAACCTATTTGAGAGGCTAGGCTGCCTGAGGATTACYGTTGGATTAGTTGGAATGTTTTGTGTTTTTTTGTTTTGTTTTTGTTTTTTTGTTGTTGTTGTTGTTGTTTTTTTTTTTGTTTTGTTCTGTTTTTTTTTTGTTTTTTTTTTTTGTTAAGCAGAGATTTCATATCGAGACTGTGATGATCAGAGTGCTTGGCAACTCATTAACATGAACAAACATKATTAAATGCAAACCATTTCCGAGGCAAAAAATTGATCAGCAGCCGGTGCGGTAATAGAAAATATGAATCTGCTTTATACAAGTAATGTTACAAATCGGCAGATCCTGTGAATGCACTTCCGAAAGGAACTATGGGTATTGATTCGGATTAGTGGTCATGGCAATATTCGCCCACGAAAGGTAGTTGAATGGGAATGTTACTCATTAAAAATGCGTATTAGTTGTTTTATCCCACAAACTTGTTGAAAATCTCGGTTCGCGCATTACGTTACACATACGTTGGATGAAAATAACAACGTTTAATTATCCAACATGGCGTAATATTTTTTTTCTCATGGGATTTTTGATAATGTAGTTGCACTGCAGCACCCATAAAATAGTTATATGCATGCTGTTTGAGCCATACCTGTGTCATACGATTATTGCTGTCCAATAAGTTGACTTCTGCTTGCATAGTATGACTTTTGTCCTTGACAAGATCTTTAAGTGGAATCGTTGCCTGACCAAGCAACCTGCGAAAGATGAAGGGAAGATTTATAAGATAAAGTATCGAAATTATAGTGCTAAAAGTTTACTTTTGGACGCATTTATTTGCAATAATTTTTATCATATAGAGTTAAAAATGTGTTATTTAGTTGAAAAGAAATTCATTAAAAGACAAAAACTTTCTCTTGCTTTCAGTAAGGAGTGAATTTTTCTTTAAACACAGCCATTCCAAAACCATCTCACGAATCTCTTGCTGCGTCATATCCGCCATGTTGGATGAAACTATCACACAGCAACCCTCATTAGCTTCCCTTGTTCATTCATCCGACATGACGGCGATGGCTTTGTTTTTCTTATTCATTAGATAATTCAACGATCTGTACAATTACTTTAAAAGAAAGTACGCTGACAGTACGCGAACAATATTTTATTTCTATTTTAATCTTTAATTATCTCTAAATATTTCATACTAATTTTACCGTGTGTTGCCCGTTCAGTTTTTTAGTTAAATATTCATTAAGCGTGTCTAATAGTAAGCTATTTTAATTGAAGCGCACACCAGTATATCAACTCTGAAGGAAATTTCGTACGTAAAAAATAAACACAAGTWATATTAATATTTCGTCTGGGTTGAGTCACTGCGGTTGGCCCAATAAAACCAGAAAACTTACCTCGACTAGAGTTAATCCAAAATATAATACGTGGTATCAAACAATGACGCCTTTCATTGAATATTATATCCTTTTTTCCCTGAATGTGTGAATCCTTAGATATGGTAAAGTAGTTCTTTATTATGATATTCGGAAGTGGACACGATTCCCGTAATCATCTTGATGCCCGCGATTTTGCTCTATATTTACAGAACCAACTGAGTTCAAATTATGCATGAAAAATTCATAGACTTCATTTTAAAATGTATAAAACTCTCAATTYATCTAACAATTTCATTGAAAAGAGCTTAAACGTTTTCGTTTATACAGTGTATATTTCTGTCAATGTACGAAMAGAAATTATCCTTTCTATTCTGTCTGAATGTTTATTTTTTTAATATTTAATATTTAATTTTTAATTTTTATATTACAATACAATACCACCTTTCTCATTGTACACTTCATAATTCATTAAAATTAAAAACTCAGACTGTTTTATTGAGATTCATAATCTGTCAAAGACAGAAAGCCATTTTTTTCTTCGCATAAATTATCATAATTATCGATATTGAAAAAATAATAATTATCATTCTTTTTTTGACCGGGATTGAAGATAGTAGTAGTAGAATTAAAAGCTACAGATACAAGTTTATATCCCTACGAAGGGTACTCGAAAGGATAAAAAAAGGCTTTACAAACTGGTTGACAATATTCTAAAGTAATGTTATGTAGATGCATTCAAAATGCCAAGAAGAACATCGTGTTGCCTTGACAACAGCGAAGAAATTTTTATTTTGTTATTTGAAAGGWGTTTTAYATTCAAAACTTGTTTTTGAATTTGAAAATAACCATGGAATAAAGTAACAAAGGTTTAWACAAAAACACGTGCTGAACAACGAGACTTCATACAAAAATCATGTCGTCATCCTTAAGGGCGCTTTATATAAAATTCATCGTAAATTAGGGAATAGAAAGTATAAGGAAAGTTGGGAAATGAAACTTAGAAACTTGAGCCACTACATTTATCTCGTGAAACTCATTGAGCTACTTTTAAATATTTGTGCTTTTCCTTGTTCAATTCAATGTTATCTGGAGCTTTTTCCCCGGCAGCTTTTAYCAATTTGAGCACTATCTCTAGCTTTGAATCAGATAAAACAGGATCATATAGAATTTTTGCAGTCATCATTACTGACAATTGTTGTAAGATTTCCTCTAAAAAAACCTAGACAGAATKGGTGGCATATAAAAACATGGTGTAGTTTATTGCCTTGGTGATTTTCAAAACTAATTTTCGTTATRAATTGGCAGGAAAGCGCACCATCTCGACCACAAATTGAAACCAAAAGCTTACGTACAGTAAAAAATATCTATTAGCTTGCAGAGCATACAGCTTGCCCTCCTGTGGTCGGCTATTATGAACATATGTTTTAATACTGAATGGAAATTTGAACTGCTTTTTTTCTTTCCCCATTACGTACGGCAGCCGCTGAGAATTTTATAMGCGAAATATCAAAATGAGAAAAAATCCTCTTTAAACTAAACTTTTTGAGCGGAAGAAAACTAACATAACATAAACATAATTTAATATTATATTCAATGTTCTCTTCAATGGTAGGATTTAATAGTTGTAATTTTTACTTCAACTCGGTTTGCTTTGTTTGCACAGAAGAAAAGCACATYCACAAGTTTGCGATTATGAATATAAATTGGCGCKGGGAGCGGATGGAAACCCGGAAATCCTCAGTTAAACTACTGTCTAGTTACTATTAGTCAACTTTGAATGAAAACTAGCGAGAAAAACCTACTCTTTATAAATGAATTGATATCTTTTCGAGAAAATGCACGTAATACTGATAAGTTATAGTTTTACTGCTAACCTGTTCCGTCCAACGCGTTCCCAATCTTTGACCAAGATCTGTATCGCTTCTTCCGCGGACAAAGTTTGGCTTTGTAAATCCCATTCCAGTTTCTAAAAAGTGAAAKAAAAGAAGYAWAATTATTGCAAAAAATATAAAGCTTTATTGACCAAGTGTCAAATGATGATCGCTCACATATGGCTAGAATCTTCCCAATTTGTTAAATTAAAGAAATAAGCCTGTTTACCTGGTTCCAGACTGGATTCAACTCGTCTTTGATCACTTCAGTCTTCTTCTTCACTCCTRCATTTCAATCAAAAATTTCAACATGTCACTTCCGATTTTTTTTAAACCTTGAATTAAAAATTTCGTTTAGCTCCTAACAAACTCGCACTTGTTGTGTTGTCTTTTACCTTGAAATATAACTATCGTATACGGATCGCTTTTGCCAAACGTCTCGACATTAGGGAGGTCTTTGGCACTGCTTACAAGAACACGCAGCATCGTTCGACCGAACTAAACGAGGATTTTTTTAGRGTTTATGATCATCCGTCGGCCATGATGAACAAGTGTTCACGAGAGATCAAATGTAAGGAGTAATATTTACATAGTAATTATATGAATTATTAATGAGGAATGATCGATAGTTTAGAATGCCAACTATAATCGTCGTATTAAAAATGGAGCTTAAATTTTACTGACATCTATATTATTTCGWAATAACCAAAATGGTTTTAAGGAATCATTTGATTATGTGACTTTTTAAGTGTTATGTTCGATAATAGTATAAATGCACTCCCTTTTTACAGTTGTTTAACTTCTGTTGTTTGCGCAAGCAGACGGGGGAGGACAAGTGCCAGTCTCCTGTATCATTCATATACGAATTTAAAGGAAATTATAGAAATTCCATAAATGTTTAAATGTTTCATTTCGCCCATGCATTCGTAAATGTTTTGCTATGGCAAATGCTTCGTCCGTATTCAGTACGTTTCAAGTTGAATTGTTTGAGATGTAATAAAACTGAGCAATGCATAAACGTTATGAAAACACATCAGTGGACAAGAATGAAAAACCATCGTCAATTAAAAATAATGGTGTGCCCGCGAACTTTGCCAGCGTGCGGTTGATATCGAAACAGTTTAAGTTTTAAATGTCTCGCGTTATTTCTTTTGGTTAGCTTATCTCTATTATGGTAAATGAAATTGAATTCTTGGCTAATTCGTGTGTACTTATGTACGCCTATCTGCAATAGAAACTAATTAAATCCATACCAGCAAAAATATTATTTGAGTATGGTCATAGCTGAAAAAAGCGTATTGATTTCGCCATCTCCCGTCTGGCACTTCGGCACCAAGCGCGTGACACCATAGGACTTGCGAAAAACACCAAATGCGTTAATATATTCAACTATTAATTCTAAATGAGCATTCACAAAGACTCACTGCTTTTAGTTTATCACATGAACTATAAATAAATGTGATTTATGAACGAGGAGCGAGGACAGCTGATGTCTGATTTGAAGAGGAACTTGACGAATTAGCAAATCTTAGCTTGTTAGTAAAACAGAAGAGCAAGGAAATGGATAGCAAAGGGAAGTGGGAATGAATGGAAGAATGAATTGTAAATGGATGAACTTGAGAAATGACACAGAGCTGAATAAAAACTAGTGAATGAAAAATAAAAAAGTAAATATAATACTGAATCGATATATTAAAGTGAAGAGAATTAATGAAAATTAGTAATAAATATATCAATACAAAGTAAATAATAAAAAAATGTATAAACACTGAAATAATTGAATGTACGCAAAACCTCATTTTCCACACACTTCACTAAACGCACAGATGGAATAATTTACAATGTATTTGAATTTTTATTGATATTCGACGCTTTGACATCTCCTCAGGGAAGGTCACAATATAGTTTGCGCACTTATTATCCCCTTTATATTCGTACCCAAATCATCGCAGTTCATTTTTTAATAAACTCTTTTCATATTTCCTAGCTCTATAAACATTTATCTTACATAGTCGATGATTTGTCACTATATCCGTTGTAAGATGCATAGCAAACTCAAAGAAATAGGCCTATTTGCTAGAGTAATTAAACTGCTCTCAACATGCTCTTTGGAAGGCATTTCATTACAAATGGCTGTCAATACTATAGCCTACGGTATAACGGGCTAAAACTTTCTCGCTAGAAACGTCTGTTTCAATGGAATATCAATACAAGAACACAAAAGCCTTTACCTTGAACGCTTACAATTGTAATAGGATCACTCGTCCCGCTTTTATTCACCCCAAGAAGGTCACTTGCCCTAAGCTCTGTAATACGAAGACTTCCAGACATTCTCSAAAACGTTTTAACTTAAACCTTCAACCGCTAGCCTCTTATTTTAGCAAGAAAACTATGCGTTTTGTGAACATGCTATCTTCCAAAGAGTCAAGCTGTTCATTTGTAAAGGTGGTCGTCAGTCTGAGCGTCCTTTGAATAGGTATGCACCTGTTTGCATGAAGTTATTTGGTTAAAAAAACATAACCTCTGTGCATTGTACAACACTACATTGTTCTATTCAGTTCGTCAATGCATCATTAGCGAAGCGTTTGTAGAGCAATACGTAATGTCTCGTGCACGTATTGATGCGTTTTCGTAACGTTCCCGTATTTCTGATTTTTTATCATTGACGAGTTAAGTAAACAGCAATGTTATGTCCATTTTATTTTCTTTCTTTCTTTTTTCTTTTCTTACACAGATGGAAAGAAAGAAACAAGCTTTGACGCCGAGGACTCGGCAACAACAACAACAACAACAACAACAACAACAACAACAACAACAACAACAACAACAACAACAACAACAACAACAACAACAACAACAACAACAACATGGACTTCAAGGACTAATTAGCAACTCAACTTCGTGCTTCTTTTTGTCCATGATAAAAATGGGCATCAAATCAAAGCCGTAAAGATGAGACAATGAAAAGATCTAGATGGTTGGGTGAAGGGGGTTTAGTTTTTATCAGTTTCCACAAGTTGATGAAATTGAGGATTAATTTATACAAATAATAATTGATAATTTGATATACTAATATATTTAATAAGGTATTAGCCACTGTGATTTCTCTGATGGCCAACAAAACCTTAACTTTAATTCTTTAATTCCTTTGTTTTTTTTGTTATTTAATGAAGTTTGTAAAATTTTGAGCTTTTGTCAGTTAGCCAATCCAGACTTTAATTCCTTTATTTTTTTGTTATTTAATGAAGTTCGTAAAATTTTGAGCTTTTGTCAGTTAGCCAATCCATACTAAGTTTCAACTCTACTTCTGGGCTCCTTGGTGATCTAATCTACTCGTTAAGCATGGTGCAACGTTAGTACTCATTAAAACAAACGTAGAATGAATCAAAACAGTTCAGAAAATGAAAGAGTACTCGGTTTTAAGACTAACAGTTTTATCTGGTTTTAACCTAATTGATGTGGATAGATTCACAGTAAGTGACCCTTATGTTAAGGCTTATTTCAAAGGTATGTCTCACTAATAATCTGCATCATATCAGTACTATTATTGTAGATATTGTGAATGGAGCTCATAGTATTACCATTGTTATATGACACGACAGTGAATTGTGGAATAATAGAATGAGTTTTACACTAAGCCTTTGATACAAAGTGTAATTATCTTAAAATATAATCCACCGAAAAAACAAGACAATTGCAATGATAGAGGATATAAGGAATAGTACGCCATAGTGTATTTCACATCTTCATATAAAAACCAAGCATGGATACTCTCCCTAATATCTCAAAACAATCCGTCGTTCCTCACAGTTTGAGTAAAATTTCGGTTTTTATTAGTTTGTCATAAACAACATTTATAAAAAAAGTAATCATAATTTTCCATCGATCTCTACTGTGCGTCCTTAGGCCGTACACCAATCCATAGATAAATTTTCATCATACCATCTAAAAAAGTAGCCAACACATTAGCCAATACAGGACTACAGATCCCATCATGCTTTGCTTCACAAAAATGGCGTCGATACACACATCGCCTRTTTCCTCTTCAGTTGACATCTGTCATTCAATTGCAATTATTCAAATTAACTGAATTGACCGTAGATTTTAATBAAATAAAAAATCTACTGAGAGTTACTGTTTATTCAGCTTGATATCATTACTGGGTATCGTGTCTTCGTAATTAGAGTCATTTGATAGACATTTTTTATGAACTGATTTATTGATGATGTCGATATGTTGAAGATYACTGTTTCATCAGCGCATAATTTGATTAATGTGGATGTTGTCAGTGTCAGCGATCCTTTCGTGTTAGCCATTTTTAGAGGTGAGTGTAGAAGTTCCTCACTTAAACAGCTGATATAATTTTTMTAAGTAATGAAGTTCTACAGACTCGTTGTAGCTTTGTGAAATASATACTAGTCTAACACACCAACAACAGTTCTACGTGTTTCATATTTCTGCATTCTTCTACATCAAGGAACGAATTTGAGCGAACAATGCCACAGATGGACGAACGAATGGATGTGCGAGTTACGAAAGGACGAAACGAACGAAAGCCTTGGAATCGAACGAAAGGGTTAAATTAATTTTTGAAAGGAATAGGAAAAAAAATTAAAAATGAATGAAAAAGGATGTCTAAACATCTCAGAATGCGAACATTTGACTTATAAGTTGAGAATGTTGGCGAGACAAAAATGTGCCTTGTACKTCTGATCAAGTCGGATGAAGAAAATGTTGTTAAAATTGAAATGACTTWAGAATAAAAGTCTAAGTCAATATTCTGCACAAACAGCTGATAATATATGGTTACACTTCAAAAAAGGTTGCCTAAGCGGAACGACGATTGCACGCCCGAAAGGCACTGTGGGTATTCAATATTAACTCATTTGCTGCAAAATCATGGCCAAACTAAACAAACTTATCATCATTAGTTAATGTTAACGAAGTGTTTATTGCCTTTGATGGGTAAATATGTTCACCAATAACCAAAGCCAATAATAGTGGCAATAGGTTCAATCCACTCGCATTTCTCTCCGACAACCAAGATTTGCCCTTAGATTCAATGCCTCTGCTAAATATAGTCCATGTGTGTTGTAAATTGCTGAAACAAAGATATATTGTCAAAATGTTGACTTTGTTTCACTTTTGCTACACTTGAACGAATTATCCTTAATGCCATTCTAATGTTATGCAAAAATCAAAAACGGAAAAAATAAAAGYCATTACACCATGACAGTGGAGCTTAAAGTTGTTGGAATGAAGTACCTATCTTTACGAAGATGAAAACTAATTTATAAACCTTGACAAAATGCTGACACTTCTACTGAAGTCAGCGAGCAACTTGATAAATGTTGACATCGGGATAAACAACAAGAGCGACCCTTATGTTAAAGCAACATTTAGAGGTATGAGTAGGCTTACTTTATGTCAACCCATTKAACAACAGTTATGTAGTTTAACTCCAGTTTATAAGACACTATCTTAAATATTAAACATAGCTTAAATATATAGATAAGTTACTTGAAGTTTTAAGTTAAGTAGGCTTTTAGTTTTTAGCTTGTTTGGGATTTATTGCATTGTTTTTCGTGACAGGTACAGTTCGTTGATATGTCGTTTTCAGTTGCAATTTTGGCGCTTATTTCAAGACTGACATATATTAAGTCGAGTTGATGTAATTTTGTTTAATTTCTTTACAGATAATATGAAAAACTGGCGAATTACATTTATAATTTATACAATGATTTTTATTATACAAAATTCTTTACAATTTGGAATGGTTTTGTTCATCTAATTCAAAAAACGATTGTTCTATGTGGGCAACCTTAGACCGTTTTATTGGCAAATCAAAACTTCAAGTTTTAAATCTAGAATCAAGAGATAGTGTATTATATAAGTTAGAATATCAGTAATTCTGTTAATTCTGACCCTTTGACTTTAAAATCCACATCATCAATAATAACATCATGCAATCAATCAACCAGAAATTCACTTATAAAATATTTCGTCATAAAACGTTTAAGATGCATTCTTACATTTACTTTTTTCAATACCTATCGATTAATTTACATTAAGTAAAAGCACACCTTCATTTCTTTAACTACCAACTATGCTATTTTATTTTAAGTAGCGTTTCGTCGTAATTATCATAAAGGAATTTTTTCTTTGCATGAATTCCTTTACATAAAAGTCACATCGCCTACGCATGGYTGCARTCTTYCACTAAAACTTTTCCAAAAGCAGCATTTTAATTACRAATAGAYWATATTTTGARAGAYTTTTCCTCTMAGARAGTRCKTTAGTTACTTTAAGCTAACATATGATGCAAACAGACGCCAAACTATTGTTTTCTTTGTTGTTTAGACTCAATTAAGACTATTAGTATTTTACAGTAATCGAATATTCATGTTTAATTACGAGTATTATCGAAGATTCATACAAACAACATCGATTAGTTTTAAAGACATGTTGAGATACCACATTAATCATTGTTAAAGGATGAATGGTTTACTAAGGGCCTGATATACTCATTGGACTAGTTCTATATTTACCGCATAATTAAGAGGCTSAGTCGAAGACTGGGGCGAGTTTGGTTGCGCAAAGAAGGCAMTTGAGATATTACGAGTGAATATCTATAATTCTTTCATTTCTTTTCGTTTAGGCGAGGAAAGAAAAACGAAACACATCGATAATAATCTCAATCCAGTTTGGACTGCAGAACACGTAAGACATCAATACAAATAAATTAATCGAGATGCTACATTCTTGAATAATTACCAACTATAGCATTGGGAGAGGAGTGCTACATAAAATAGATACTGCGTTAATATTTGGTTTCATATTCMCCCTCCTCTGCTACCTGTAGCAAAAATGACGCCACTAATTCCTTTCGCTTATTTTACCWATWRYYTTCCTGATAGAATAATGTGTTGGAATGGGACCTCGGACCGGAYCCCTTGGTGTTTAGTGATGAACTACATGTCAAAGTCAAGGATTATGAAAGAATACTGCGAAAAAAGTACGTAATGATGCCACTGTAATTATTCATAACGATTAATTTTAGTTAAAGAAACTTWAATTTGTTTAAAAACATAGAATGGAATAATAATGATGATAATGATATTGATGATATAACATGCTATTTATTCTAATGATTAATCTTCAGATTACTCGGACAAGTAACAATTCCTATAAAAGATCTACTCAGAACCAAAGACTTCAMGATCGAGCAAACATACCCTCTCGTGGACAGCTACCACAAACGTCTAGTAGTAAGTGCCTCATTGTATTTTGTTGAATTTCACTGGTAGTTTATTTGTACTCAACACTATATATATTTATCTTTTAGAGTACTCTGTCGCTTAAGCTAGAGTATAAGCCACCGAGACGAATGTTGTCATATATGGCGGATGAAATTGATGCAGGCGATGAGCAGGAACTAGTCGAAGGTGAAGAAGTCAGAGACGAAGAAGGGAAGGTGGTATCTACDAAAAGGTAACTCGACAAGCAATTACAAAATCAAAATCACATATAACCAACCACTTCAATGTGGAGGAACTTCGAACTGATTTTGCACGTTTTGCAGTGGGAAACCATCGGCGTCYAGATTCAGTATCCGACGAGAATGGTCAACCAGGAAACGTACTTTTAAGATAACGGTTAGAATTCACGAGGGTCGACAAATACCGGGTATAAACATCTCACCAGTAGCGCGTGTCACTATCCAAAAAAACAAGAAAGAAACACGAGTCAAGAAGTCAACAAACAATCCCGACTTTAACCAAGTACGTTGACAAGAAAAAAACAAAACAAAAAACAAAACAAAACAAGCTTCTTGTACCGCTTGTGGATGTATGGTCGTTTGTTTTAAATCATAGTTAACTTGAAATATTCTTGCTTTGGTTTCAGACGTTTACGTTCAACTTCCAGCATTGCTCTGAAGCTGAACTCTTTGATGAACTAATTGTTCTTGAGGTAATACAAAAAATACTTAACGTTGTACGTTAAGCTATAGCCTTCTCCCATGTTTCTTTCTTGGGATTCCTGTCTTGTTTTGCSTYCGGAGGAGCCTTGTTAGMTTATATTTACTATAGATTTTGTTACTTAATCGCCAGGTTTTCGAYTCAAGACAAATACTTAGAAATGCACTTATTGGATTCTTCGAGGTAAGTAATTTAAATAATGCGTAATATTATAGTATATTAATGTAAATAGTAAATAATGATGAGTAATTTACTTATATTGATGATTGAATGACATTATTTTATTTTACTCATTAAAAAACGTATATGAATTTTTATTTAGAGCGATATTGGTTTTATTTATGAAAATCAAGGTAAGCGTCGAGATTTGAAAATAGTGGATTATATATATAAAAACGAAAAGAGAACGAGAGGTGATTGAKTGAGAAGGAAATGGGAAATTACAAGTCAATATTTTGATTCTCAGTATTCATGTCAGGGCAAGATGTAATAGTCGAAAAACTGTTGAAAAACACTTTTTTCCTGTTAATTTTGATAAGATTCCTCAGGCTTCGCGCGTCAACGAGTCATGTATCGTTAATTATCTTCACAGACCATTCAATTGTCAGAAAATGGGTTCTGCTCACTGGTGCAGGACTACGAGACGACGACGATGATGATCTAAAGGTAATCTGTCTGTCTGTCACAAAGTACATTTACTCACACACAAGTAMAMRGACAACATTTCCCATCATGCCTTWCGGGCGTCGCTGAACATTTTGATATTGGTAGTCAATTTTCAAGGTCAATGTTTTCTTATAAGGGTCAATCTTATACCCAGAGCCCGCACTTTTGCCATTCAGCTTGCTCGAGAAAAGGGTGAAAAAGGGTTGAATTGAATAATTACTGGCTTCTTGTATATATTGYTGTTAATCATTCAAAATACAGTTAACTCTCTTTGAACGACCACTCTAGTAAACGACCATCTCCCGTAAGCGACCACCTTTTAAATTTCCCGTTTTGTTCAGTTTCCCATATAAACTCTGTACAAAAAACTTTCTCGTAAGCGACCATCTCTCGTAAGCGACCACGTTTTACGGATCCCGAGGTGGTCGCTTACGAGAGAGTTGACTGTAGTTTAATTAATAATTATTATTTATCATAGCATGGTCTCAGTAAGTTTCTGCGAAGACGAGGACGTGATGGRGGCAACGCGGGATACCTGAAAGTAACTATCACCGTGCAGGGGTCTGGTGATGACAGACTGGTAAGACTGTAACTTAAAGATTTCCTCGGATTACTGAACACAATTAATTTTGGGGCWATATAGCTTTTAAACTATCTGMCTTTTTCCTAATYAAAGCTGGTTTAGCTGGCAATGAATGCCAAAAGAGGAGTTTTTCTGAGAGTATACAAGAATATACAAGAACTAGATCTAMAAGGGCAACAAAAACATGACAAAAGAACTTAAAAAAATAAAAAAATAAAAAAATTTAAAGTTAAACAACGCAAAGTCTGAACAACACATGATAAATAGCGACGAGATAGTAGAATATTTCAAGGAACTCGAATTGTAATAATCATATCTTTCATCCTGCAGTCTATGAAACAGCTGGAAGCACCGATAGATGATGAAGACGACATCGAAAAGTATGTAGCAAAGATTTTGGAAATAATCAAAACAATCGTAGCTCATGAAGTGTCAGTTATAATTTTAAATCTCAAAATTGCAAGAAAATTTCGACATGGAAATCAATCAATGAATACGTTTCTCGTTTTGTCCAGGAATTGCCTGACGCCCGTTGGTGCCACACGAGAACCAGCCGAGTTCCATCTCAAGGTCTTTATGGCAGAAGATTTACCTCAGAGTAAGTTGTGATAATACTGGAAAGATTTCACTGTACACGGYACAGGTACAGYGGTATACGGTACTTTGACTACTCATACGAAAACCGCTGACGTGTTGGTGATGCATGCTCATGAAAAGATATCACCATCTTATGTAACAAAATTATGACCGTTAAATAGTTTTAAAGCGTTGAAGATGAAAAAATAGTAATAATTAAAACATTCCATTGATTTTCTACAGTGGATGCAGGTTTCGTCGCAACATTTCGTCGACTGTTCCTTCCTGGCAATGATAAACAATGGGTTTGTTTTCTCACTTGATAAATAAAATATAAATCAAATAATGTCGAAATTTGATGCAAAGGAAATAACAATATGTATTTTTGACTAATTCAACTTTTTAAAGTCATTTTCTAACGAAAAAAAATTCAGATAAAACTATCCCTTCTATAATCTTATATGATAAATACTTTTCTTCATTCAGGATCCCAACCAGAAGAAAAAGCTCGTCGATCCATATTTTGTCTTCAGTTTTAGTGGTAAAGAGGTAAGGTGATTCACACAGTAAAATTCTTAAGAAGGCTCAACATTTATAAAGTAATATTTTTATCTTATGTTTTCTTCAAAGGTTAAAACAAAGACTTTGTACCGTACAAATAACCCATCATTCAACCAGCTYCTTMGGCTACCAGTAATGGTAAGAATTCGCAAAAAAGTAGCCTCACAATAAAAGGACAAAAGCAACCTGAATATTTCRATTGCGACAGTACATTAACCAAGATCAATAATCAATATTATAGTTTCTTGCTTTTGATTCTAGTATCCAACAATGAGTGAGCGAATCAAGTTTCAACTTTTTGACAAGTAAGTTWAGTTTCTTKGTTTTTGCTCGGTTGTCGATCGGTCCATTTTTTATTGACCTACTGGTCGGTAGGTTACTGTCGAACCGTCAACTTTTGGTCGGTTCATTGGTCGTTTTTATTGACTATGCGTTATAATTGACAGGGATCGTGGACCGAATGAGAATGACATCATTGCYACATCTTTTCTATCAMTGTCACAAATCTCAGGRWATGAATCATCTGGTAAGTTSAATGTCAACAGATTTCTACGGTTTCTACATCTCACCTAGYGTAATAAASTATATTTCTTTCCTTAGTATTTTCGCCTCATTTTGGTCCGTGTTTTATCAACTTTTATGGGTCTCCAAGAGAATTCAGATTTATTAATTCTGAGAACTATGAGAAGCTGGACAATGGAATTGTAAGTCTGTATACTTATTATTTTTTATTTTTTTTGTGTGTTTTTTGGTAATCCTGAGTTAAAATTTGCGAAGAATTTTAATTTCTGAGAGCGCCAATGTTTGTCAGGGAGAGGGCGTGGCATATCGTGGTCGTGCCCTGGTTGAGYTGACCCAATCATGGACGGTTGGTAACTCCCCAAACGTTCATAACATCCACGACGAAGATGTAGTACGAGTGCAGGTGAGACATATGAATAACACTCTCGGAATGYTCTCGAGAGACTTTCGGATATCATCGGAACACATTCGGAATCAGATATTCAAATTGAAAACATCAAAGCTAAGAAAAAATCATCATCTTGTCGACCCATTTCAGCCATTCTTAAGGCAAGACAAGTACAAGCTGTTTGCGTGCTTCAAAAACGCGGCRATGATCAGCAAGAACGACAAAGCCATCGAATTTGAAGTCAGCATTGGTAAGTTGCATTATATTCATTCTTCTTTCTTGCTTTTTGCTTTTTCATATATTTAAATCATTTTTTCATCTTTTTCAATTCTTTAATTACTCAAGCAAAGTCTCTCCCTTTTTCAGGTAATTTTGGTAACAAACTCGACGAGACTGAAGTWGCTTGCAATACTCCACCGACTAACCCTGTGTACGACGGTTCACATTACCACTATCTGCCATGGCATCACTACAAACCCTGCATTTGCCTTAACTGCCACTGGGAGAATATAGCATTTAGAATCGACCCACTTAAYATCATCAATAGATTGTGTGAACAATTGGTAAGATTTCCACTTTATTTTGAGATTTGATTTGGCGTGGTTGGTTGGTTGATTGGTTGGTTGTTTTGTTTGGTTGTTGGTTGGTTGTTTGGTAAGTTTATTGGTTGGTTGTTGKCTGTTTTTGTTAGTTCTGTGTTATCTATATGTTTAACTTCGTTTTYCTTACAAAACTAAAATTGTTCAAAGGATGCCATAGTCACAGGAGTTAAATTAAACATGGAATCCGATGAAGAAAAAGAAAAAGAAGGACCAAGACAAGAACAACCAGAAAACGAAGAAGAAAAGAAGACATCAACATTGAAAATCGGTTTGCAGCAAATAATTCAAAAATGCCGGTAAGATATACCTCAACTGWGTTACCTAATGTATCAACTTTGTTAATTTTCAAAGTATATAAGCCTTAATTTAGAGTTTCTTTTTCAGACATGCTAAAAATTACATCATAGTGCACAAAAATAGACCACCTATCAATACCTTGGATGTTACACTTGCTGTGAATCGACAAGAGGAAATTGTGAGTACTGCATTTTTGTTTTTTGCAATCACTTACAAAATGAAAATGCTACAAATCGAATGACTAGTTTAATTTTTGCTGATGTGGGTTTTGTTTAGGATAAAACCATTCAAGAAGCACGAGAATTGTTTCGAAAGCTTTCACACGCAACGGAAGAAAATGTTGATCTCAAGAAAATAGTTCAGGACATGGAGGATTATGTTTCGCGTTTGAAGAGTTTGGCGTATGAGGTATGCAKATTGAAAGATCATACAACTACACCAAATTACATCAAAAAACAGTTAATACCAAACCAATTATTTTTGACCATACAATTTTATAATATTTTCAAAAAGGTTTATGACCAAAAGACCAAAATGCATTGCCGTTACAAATTGACCATTCTAAACTAAATTGCTTTGCATCGAACTCACAGATCTGTTGAAGTAACTCTGAAACAGTGAAATTCAGTTTTTTTAGTGGTGACACGACGCTATCTAGATTCTAATATAGAAGTATAAGCCACGAAGACAGATTAACGCATTTACTGTTTTAATGTCATTCAGCCTCAGATAAGTATCCCGGATGTAATCATTTGGATGCTGTACGGCGGAAATAGAATTGCTTACCACAGGGTACCCATTCAAGATGTTATGTATTCACCAAATATAGACACACGAGGGAAATATTGTGGAACGACCATGGAGCTTCTTATGAAGGTACAATCCTTCATTATATATCATTAATAAACCATTAATTAATCAAAACAAGAAATATTTTTATATTCTCACCTCGCACAGTACCCTGGGAATGCGAAGCTTGATRATGAATACCAGGAAGTGCCAGCCATGGTTCGCGTTGAATTGTGGGTAGGTCTTGAAGAGCATCAGAARGATTGGATTCGCCGCGAAGCTCAGGAAGGGGTGTTCAAGATTTAYGCTGAAACAGTATGTGTCAATTAGTATGAAAGCCTATAAAATGAAATGTTGTCAGTTGTCCTTTTTAGTGATGTAAATATAGTGATTGTTTCCATTATTTATCATTGTAAAACATAGAAACATTGTTATATACTATATTAAATTATGATTATGATAATGATTATGATTACGATTATGATTATGATTACTGTTAGCTCAAATWTGAAATGTCAAGGGAGAATCATGGATGCACTATTAAGTGTTGAGAAAATATTAGCGTTCTAGCGATACTTCATTTCACGTAATTTTTGTTATTCATGTGCCACTGAACAAGAACACGATTTAAAGAAAACAACGTAAATACATTAGCATAAGAAAGATGAACTCTAGACATTCGTTAAAGACTGACTTTATAGTGACTTATAGTGTTCCGTAAGGGCTTGTAATTTGTAATTATATCGTCAGAATCGCTATTACACACAACAATTTTAATGTTGTTTTAGTATAAGAACGAAATGAAGACTCCCATTGTTGGATGGACAAATCACTTTTCATTGCGCCCACAATTCTCAAATGCCAGCGGAGACGTGAGTATCTCTACGACYCTTCACTTGTAGTAATCTAAACCGTTACAAGCTTTCTAGTATATTATTATCGCACAGGTCCCCCTAAACATGAAAGACTTCGTCCTAGCAAAAGGATGGGAGTTCAGAGGYGACGAAAAACCTCATCTCGACAGGAGGTTTGTTTGTGTTTAACAATCTAGAACGATTATGAACTAGCTATTTAAAAATCACGCTTGTTCCGTCTTTCAGTTTGATGTACGAGCAAGACTGGGCACTAAGTAAATACACGGAGGAAATCTGGGAACACCAGGGTAGGAATCTCCTTGGTGGAGAGTGGAGCAATGATTCCCAATGGAAAGAGGAGGTACGTCTTTATTCCTTGATTTATATCTTATTGGTTCGTCCCTATTCTGTCTTTCAACAAGTTGGAATAAAGACATCGAGTTATAAAACAATTATTTGACTTTTTCCAGGATGGCCAAGAATCTGGGAGCCCTGATGATTTCCAGATTCGTCCAGGATGGAAATGGACTGATAAATGGAGAGTAGACAGAAACAGAGCAGTAGATGCTGAAGGGTGGGAATACTGCATAAGCGAAGGACTTGATGGGATTTATGTCAAAGCTTCCAAGGCTTTGCACATGACGCGAAGAAGACGGTGGGTTAGAACTAGGGAACTCGAAGACGCATCAAGAAAGCGCACCCATGTAAGTGATCACTATCACTCGCGCACATTGCTGTTGCTGCTACTTATTGTTGTCATTATCAATGTTATTATTGCTGTTTTGTTGTTATGAATGCTGTTGTTGCTGCTGTTGCTGCTGTTAATGATGTTGTTGCTGCTATTGCTGTTGTTATTGCTGCTGCGCTTGTTGTCAGTGCTGTTGTTGTTGTTGTTGTCAGTGCTGTTGTTGTTGTTGTTGTTGCCAGTGCTGTTGTTGTTGTTGTTGTCAGTGCTGTTGTTGTTGTTGTTGTTGCCAGTGCTGTTGTTGTTGTTGTTGCTGATGCTGATTCTTTTTCTGGTCCTGTTGTCGCACATTCAAATCCACGCGCTTTTCCAAACGACATGCTTATTTTCCAGGAAAAGTTTAAGAAGCAAACCGAAGAAGGATGGGAATACGCTGCCACATTTGACAGTAAATTCCACATCAACGAAAGAACCAGGGACTTGGTGAGACGAAAGCGACTGCTGAAAGAAATTGTGCCTCAATCAGGTAGAAAGATCGAGAATCTTGGTCTGCCACCAAGGCTTGCCATTGACGTAAAAARGGCAAAACTGGTAAGTTTACGAATCACTTAATCTTTTTTTTACATTAATTTACGTATATTCTAAAAAMAATTGACATGAATTGGCGATTAATTATAGCCATGATTTTGTACATTATTTCAACAGAAAAAGTCTAAAACAAAGCTGAATGGAAAGGAAAGTCAAACGAGTCAGGAAGATTCTGAAGAAATGGAAATGAGGGGATGCCTAGCCGTAAATCCGCGAATGTTCATCGTTTATGAGMGTGAGTCCTTCGTTCCTTTTCCCCATCGGCTCCCTTTCTTCCTTCATTCGTCCATTTTGAAATGAAAAGAAACGAAAGGAAAGTGTACTAGTCTCAAATGACCATTTTTCTTCCATTCATTCATTCATTTTTCTATTCTGCTCTGTTTAGTTAGAGTTTATGTTTTGACTGACTCAATTAAACAATTTTCATTGTACTATTGAATAAAGGACCCCACAAGTTTCAGCTGTGGGTGTACATCTACCAAGGTCGTAGTTTACTTGCAAAGGACGACAGTGGTGAAAGTGGTGAGTCGGCTCTGAGTGTCTTTTTTTACGTAGTCTTAATGAATAGCTAACGAAGACTAATGTCTACGTAGATCCTTACGTTCAAGTCGCTTTTTGTAATCAAAGTCAGAGGACGGAATGGAAACGCCAAACGTTAGCACCCAAGTGGGAYCAGATGCTTATTTTTCCACACGTGGAGTTGTTTGAAACAATGGAGAACATTATACACTCTCCTCCTAAAATTAACATGGAAGTATTCGATAGAGATCCTGTGGTAAGTACAGACTAATCTCAAACTCACTTTTAGAAAACAAATTAAAGGATAAAAAATATTTAACATCTGTTATGACAGTGGTAGAGGTCGCGAACGCCCTCCTCCCCGTCTCCTCCTCCCCCCTCCCAACTCCCCCGTCCTAATTGTCCAAAGCAGCACTCCTAGATAACAATGAATTGTACAAGTAAACGAAGTTAATCTGCTATATTCAGGGTAAACATGACTTCATTGGCCGATGTATGGTGACGCCTGTCGTTCAAACCAAAGGAGGAAGTTCCGAGCCTCCTTCTTTGACATGGATATCGCTARACAGCAGAGCATCCAATGCTGGACAAATCCTCGCAACAGCCGAACTATTCCTTGTAAGAAAGATTCACATTGACTTTTAAAATATCTAATGATAAATCCTATAATTTTGTTGTCGCTTCTGTTGAACCCTTTGTCTCTTGTCGTTGTTGTCGTCGTCAATGTTGTTGTTGTTGCTGTTATTACCGTTCAATAGTGCACAATGTTATTAGTACAATTGGTGCCTCAGATTACTATAGCTGCATCATTGAAGGATTTGTTTGAATAGTCTGAATTTTACGCATCTATAATTGCCTATTTTTATCAATAGGACGAGGGACAGCAGATGCCTTCCCTACCTAAGCCAAGAGGGTCCGTCAAGTCTCACTACATTTACCCTGTACGCAAAGGCGTTAGTCCTGAATTACAAAGAGTCGCAGTWGAGGTCAGTAAAACTCTTCTTTTAATTGAAATCTTTTCTTTCTTTCTGTTCTAATTTTTTATTCATTTTTCTTTGCAAGTGCTTTAATATTCCTTTCTTTCACATTTCTTTTCTTTGGATTCACATTTTCAAATCTCTTCTTTTATTACATCATTCCTTTTCTATATTCGTCTTTCTTATAGTTTTTTCTTTGTTTCCTATTAATTTTTTTTTTCTCTCTTACTCTACTGAAATAATGAATAATAAATAATAATTTCAACAGATTTTATGCTGGGGCGTTCGAAATTTGGAGCCTTACAACTTTCGCAACGTTGATCAACCAAGTGTCAAGTTTGAATGGGGAAATAAAACTATYTCTTCAGAAAAGTTARAAAATGCAAAACAAAATCCAAATTTTTCAAAACCTGTTCTTGAGCGGGAAATTCTGGTAAGTTAATAGTTACAAGTAAAATTTATACAAAAATTTATTCAAGTTTACTATAAATTTTAGCCAAGCTCAATTAATGTGAGGTGGTGGCGCTTTCAAAGGTTGGAAGCTTTTATTTGTGATAATGATCTCAAAGTAGATTTTGTGATCTCTGAACAGATCAACACAATATAGATCAATATAATATAAAAATGATTATTAGCTGGTGACACATCTTCGATAACCACTGCACTTAATGCACAAGTGTGGGCTGTATTGTGTATATATTGTATTTTATTGAGTGATTAATATAATCACTTTATTCTCAGATAATTGAAAAGGGGCACTTCGCTCCAGCTATGGAAATACGAGTATATGACAACCGTAAGTTTAGCATGAAACCCCCCCTKGTTGGAGTTGTGAYAGTCCCTTCAATTGAGATGTCGAATCCAGCAACATTAGACTTCTATGATGAGCCAGGTAAATCTAGCATACTTTAKAAATGTAACTAGTATTATATCCAACCCACATGGAAGATTTTTTGAGATTTATGTTACCTACCAACCTGGCCCAACTAAACATTATGGGAAATTATCCTTATTTTCAATCTTCTAGCTTCACCATTTTCACCCTTTCCCACAACTCAACAACGCAGAATTGAAGAGCACAAGAAGGTCAGTGCACTTTTAATTAATTATGTAWTCATAAGATTATGTAATGTTTACAACATTCGCGTCCGTGTTGTATGGGATTTTACAATCTCGAGCCTGTAAAATCCCATASAACACGGACGCGAATGTTGTAAATTACTTGTGAAACGTTTAGGTGTATACATTCATAATCTACTAAAAACTTGAAGATAAAATTGAATTTGGCTGAGAAAATTAGATTTTAAGAAGTTTATGCAAATCAAGACAGTTTTGTATCAAATATTACAACACTCTTCATGGTTGTGATTTCTATTGTGTTTTCCTCATTAATTATTCATGAGTTTTACAATATTCATTATCATCATTATTACAGGGGAAAGAGCAATTTGACTGGTGGTCTAAATATTACTACTCAGTGGAAACAAAGAGATTAACAAAGCAAATCAAGTGGGATTCAAAGGTACTTGATRCCATGGAGTTCCTGTGGTAGCTGAAAACGGGAGAGCCTGGGGCGAATAACAYACATCGAGCGCGCGAATCAAAATATTACATTTTTTCATGTATTTTCCATTATCAAAATACTCCTTATTACAAATATGCAGCTTAACTTATTCATAAACTTGTTAAAAATTTCACTATTCTAAATATTTTAAGCTACAACTTTGCAAACAGTCGCTAATACCTTACTTTCCTCATAAACTGCTAGTGGACAAGTTTTGTATATTAACAGCTCCATGCAATACGCTAACTATGTTATCCATTTTAAGATTTTGAGCATGTTTTCAAATGAAGACGACAAAACAAAAGACCATCTTGCAATCTACAGAGAAAGGAAGTATGACTCCATTGAGGTAATTATTGGGAAATCTTTCAATTTTGAGAAGCTGTCGTCTTGCTTTTGAGTTTACAAGGTTTATTAAACCTATACTCTGCGAAGTAGCTCTGTTCGCAGAGTAATAAGCCTACAAAGGAATTGTTTATATTTTTTATAAACGATTACAGATATTTGATAGAGAGCTCGAAAAAGTGGAGGAATTTGAAGGACTCAATGACTTTGTGAAAACGTTCAAACTGAAGCGAGGAAAGTGGAAAGGCGAAGACGAAGATGAAGACGATGTTGTGGGAGAGCTCAAGGTAAGTWAAGCAAACCRGAGATAATAAAACAGAATTTTAAAAGCTTAAGTTCCTATCACAKTATTTATCAAAACGTGCTCATTACGTGACAAAAGTGAGAGCAAGAAAGAACAATTTTTTAGTAGAACATGATCAGTCCATATTCCGAAGAAGTTCATGCTTCTCTGCTCACTTCTCTGATGGATTCTTACCTTATTTTGAAGATTTCCAACCATTATATCTTGCAATTCTCTTTTCATCAAAGAGCAGCTTGCTTTTACATCTATTCTATCTTTAAGAGCACAAAATAATTTGCTTTGTACAAGATTTTGCAAATAAAGTCCCAGCGGAATAACCACAGGGATCCCACACTACTCTTTTCATCAATGTAGTGTGGGATCCCTGTGGTTATTCAGAAGGAGTCCTTTGTCGGAATTTACTGAATTTAAAATGAAATTCAATGTTGTAGGCCAATATTCGTGTTTATCCAGTTGAAAACGACAGCAAAGACCATCTACCACCAGGATTGTTTAGTAATTTGAGTGAAGTCAACATGAAATGGCCAATCAAGTGTGTCGTGCGCGTTTACGTCATTTGTGTGAGTTCATATTTTCCCGGAAATTAAAATCAAAAATCCAACTTGTTTTCCTGACTTTTCTGTGTAATCCATTTTGTAGGCATTCGACTTACAGGCACATGATGCGAATACTGGATTGGTAAGAGAGACAAACTGACTGACCTAATAAATAAATAAAAGATGAAATGAATGGAAATGTGCATAAAAAATAAAAATGGCGGGATGTTTGGATAAATGAATGGATGAATCAAACAATTTAATAATCAGTGACCATACCATTTCTTGATTTCAGGCGGACCCTTTCCTGTCTGTGACGGTTGGCAATAATACTCAAACAAGCAAGGAAGTGCAGCATAATACGCTGAACCCAATTTTTGGAGAGTAAGGCTAAATAACTTTACAACTGTGAAAAACTTTATAATACGCCAATATAACTTCCTTCCCAATTCATTTTCCTCCTTTCCTTTTTTCTCACCTGTCCCAATACGAAGAGAAAAAGGCAAAGGGGTTGTGTCAGTAACATTCGTCAAAGATAACATATCGGAGTGAAAAGTAGTCCAGTCGCTGGCCCCTATTCTTTGCTCCGCTTTAAATTTTGTCGCCGAAGAATATAACTTCCTTCCCAATTCATTTTCCTCCTTTCCTTTTTTCTCACCTGTCCCAATACGAAGAGAAAAAGGCAAAGGGGTTGTGTCAGTAACATTCGTCAAAGATAACATATCGGAGTGAAAAGTAGTCCAGTCGCTGGCCCCTATTCTTTGCTCCGCTTTAAATTTTGTCGCCGAAGACTAGACTAGTCTTCGGCGACAAATTGAAAGCGGAGCAAAGAATAGGGGCCAGCGACTGGACTAGGTGAAAAGGTGTGACAATTAATAGGAGTTCTGATACGCAGTYAGAACAGSGATATCATCTTATCGCATCCTGTAATCTCTTGTCGTAATAGCCGATTTTGGCTAACGGTGAATTACTAAGGCTTACGTTACCCAAAGAACAACACAAGAGGGAGATAGGGAGATAAAGCTTTCAAACTGAAGTTACATTATATGCCTTCAGCTAGGCTACTGAAACGTTAGAAATCCGTAGTCATTTTTACGTATATTTCTTTTCTTTAAAGRATGTTTGAGTTCACTGCTTCTATTCCTATTGTAAAAGACCTTAAGATTAAAGTWATTGACCAAGATGCGCTTCTTGATGAGGACATCGGTGAGACCACTATCGATCTCGAACAAAGACTGCTGTCCAGATWCCACGCTTCCTGTGGGCTGCCAAAATTATACTACGTGTAACTATCAAAATTATTCGGTTTAGCTTTTTCTATATCATTAATCATGCGACTTATCCTATCTTATTTTCTGTAGTGGTGGACCGTTTGCGTGGCGAGACTGTAAGACACCAAAAGACATTCTAAAAGAGTATTGTCATGCAACGGGATGCGAAATGAAATTCTATCCACCAAARTCTACTAAACGTCCCCCAAACACCCTCGTACTGAATCAGCCCAAGAACAGCACAGCAAAGCCGATCGGTCCGTTTTACCTTGACMACATAGGTACTGGATATATAACAATATGTGATAATGGCAATAATGAACAGATGATAATGATAATAACGATGATCTAGTGATGATCATAATACTAAAATTAATGATAATGGTGATGATGATTAATAATGATTATGATAATGATGATCATTATGTTGACAATTCAATCCTAATTATATACGAGTGATAATATTAGTATTGATCGTTTTCGCCCATTCCCATGAAATTCAAAAGATAAAAGACCTGCGGCCATGTTGGAGGAATGAACAATGGATACTAACGAGAAATCCTTTGTTGAAGTTCCTCCAAGATGGCCGCTATGACGTAACCTGAAAACGAAGAATATGTTATGATGGTGATAACATCAATGATGATAATGATGAAAGAGCTTAAGGATCAAAAGGAGAATATCAAAATATGTAGTAAGTAGATTAACCGGGTTATATTTACGATTTTAGAAAACTATGACGAGACYAACAAAGATCACGGAAGTCGCGATCAGCAGCTCTCCCTTTATGCTCTTCATGGCCTGGGTCTAGTACCTGAACACGTGGAAACTAGATTGTTGTACAGCTCGTTTCTGCCAGGATTAGAACAGGTACTAGACACATGATGATGATGATGATGACGACAGTAACGATAATTTATAGTTTTATATGTAAATTGTGGATACATAAACACTATTTGGGTTTAATTTGCAATCTTTGTAGGGCAAGCTGCAGCTTTGGGTTGACATTTTTCCTAAATTACAAAATGTTGATATTAAACCAGCCGTTGACATCAAACCAAGGACACCGATACCGTAAGTAGATTTAAAAACAAATGAATGACGTTTTCACACTCCCTGGACTTCCTGGAATTCAATTAATGACATCGCACAATGTTCACATTAAAATGAATCTATTTCCTCCCATTCAGCCATCAAGTTCATTCTCAWTTATCAACCTATTGTATGTTCATAAATTGGTTCATTCATTACTCCAGTCATCCTTTCATCCATTCATTTTCTCATTTGTATCTTTAAACAGTTATGTACTGCGTGTAATCATTTGGGACACAACAGAGGTTGAACTGCAAGAAACGTCAATCACTGGAGATCAAATGAGCGACATCTACGTAAAGGGGTACGTCACGTGACATTTGTGGATTTACCTGTGGTATATTACGTCACGAACCCTGGCCTCGCTGGATAYAAACTAGCACGGGATCGTGACGTAATACCAAAGGTAATCTGCATTTTGATAAGAGCGCGCGCCGATAAATGAAAACATGCGCAGCTCATGCTTATTCTCTGGGTGATTGATTTGCGACCAGGCCTGCATATGAATTCGCAAAGGTTGTAAGCCAGTGAGCCCGTGCAAGGGAAAACCCGCAGCTCGCCTTTCACTCAGACAAACACTACAAGTCGTGTTTAAATTTATTTACATAACTAAACAAAATGATTACAGAATTAAACCTTTAAGAATTGAATGCTCATATTAAACATTTTCCAACTTAAAAACACACGTGTTTTTGAGAAGGGAATTTAGTCGAACTTTGTCACGATGGAATTTTGTTTTGAGTCGTTTCGACATAAACAGTCGCTAAAAACCCCAGTCACCGTTCTAGCTCTCGTTCTTAGGTCAGAGCTAGTAAATGTGTAACTGACCTGTTACATAACGTCAAACCGTCGAGCACGCTTGCGGCATATTGCCGAAAATGCGACAAAGAATGAGCTACGAAAGTTGTTTGTACCAAAAATAACAAACGCTTTAACTCTATTGGAATACGTGGACCTAAGCTGCTCTAGCTCTTCCAGTGATGTTGTAGATACCTCAAAGCTTAGAGGAAACAAGAGCTAAGAAAAAGGATTTCCAATGGTTCCTCCTAAGATACTTTGGACTTGAACGGCGCTTCAACGACCTTCTGAAGTCTTCGTGAACTAGGTCAGATCATTGCTTCGCATGCAATGGAGAACCCGCGTAGAACACAGAACAATTATTTCTATCAGGGAGGGGAGTCTCGTGGTATTAAAGAAAAAGTTATTTGTTATKACATTTTTAAGATAAAATTCTATTTCGATAACGATAAATATTTGATTGACATTTAGAAGCTATCTAATAAAGATTTTCAATTTCTCTTTGCGTTTTAGCTTCGATTTTTCGGATAGAATAAAATGACAGGCAGTCTACTCCACTCGGTCGAGTTTTGCTTTGCAAATTCCTCCCGTCGGAGGGTTATGTTTACAACATAAGCTTGTTAGCTTTGCGCTGATTGGCTAGTCGCATTTTCACAAATCACCCAGCTCTTCTCTCGAGCAAAATTAATTGGGAGGCCTATGTTTCATTCGGCAATGTGTACGGACGAAATTCAACTTCATCAGCAAAGCAAGTCGGAAGAAGTAGTCCTCGCGCTCTTTACAGTCTTTATTTTCTTTTGAAAAAATTCCGCCATCTGTTTGCGTATTTTTTTTCACAAAAAAAACAGTAATTTTAACATTTTTGTAAGAAAACACCAAAATAGATTATCAAGGGTTATTATAGCCGCCAAAAAAGGTAAGAGGACTACATTTTCCATCATGCTTTGCACAATAAAATGGCGTCGCTGTTATTTTAGTATGTGAGTAACAACAACCTGTATCAATTAATCATGACAAACATGCAGAAATGAGAATTTTTTAATTCTTGAAATAATTACCTAAAGGTGGATAGATGGTATTGATGAAAAACAAAGAACAGACTATCACTATAGGTAAGACGACAATCACCGATTGGCTGATTGCAAACCTTCCATTATTACACTGTACTGATATCTTCTTTTTCAGATCGCTTAATGGTGAGGGAAACTTCAACTGGAGAATGTGCTTCCCAATTTCGATTTTGCCTATTGAGAATCAGTTGGTTGTTTCCAAAAAGGTAGATTTTGTATTATCTTGATATCATCATCATCATCATCATTATCATCATCATCATCACCATCACCATCATCACCATCATCATTATCATTATCATTATCATCATCATCATCATCACCA